TTAATATATTATTATCATATGATTTGCCTATATTTTCGGGAATCCATTAATTTTTATTAGTCGCATGTTTTTGTCACCGGATCCGCACATAGAAAATGATTTTTGCGTTCATTTCGTGGCATTTATCGTGATTTTATTCATTGAATTTTATTTTTGTATTTTTTTATTGATTTGTTTGAATCATAATGATTATAATGATTGCCTTTTTCCCTGTGAGTTCTGTGCAGAATATTCTTTGTTTGTATCTAATCTCGAAAGCAATGTATTTTTATTTTTTTAAAATATTCTGCAAAATATATAATATTTTATTGATTCACTCGATATGATAGCTAAAATTAAATGCATTTTTCTTGGATTACATTCAATATTTTGGTTAATATTTTTTGGGAATATTTTAAAACACGAGTTGTTTTCTGATAAACTTATTTTGTGCGGCATTTTTTAGATATTTATTTATGTAATCGGAATCGGCTTTTGGTTGAGATATTATATTTCAATTGTTTCCACGTTTTATTAGTATGTTATCTATTGATTGCCTGAGTTTTCTATTGATAGTCGTGTGATCTAAAGGTCTAATTGTTTCAAAATGATTGCTATTTACGTCAATCTATGCATTAATTTGTATTTAGTATATACACTGAGTAGACGTAGGTTTGTAGTAAATCTANTTTACGTCAATCTATGCATTAATTTGTATTTAGTATATACACTGAGTAGACGTAGGTTTGTAGTAAATCTATTGTGAAACTAATTTATATTTAATATATTTGTAATAATGGTTTAGATTAGAGAATAAATATAGTGCCTTAAATTAATTATAGCACGAAAATACATATCTAAAAATTCAAAGTATTATTTGTTTGCTTATTATTATAAAAATTGCATTCATTTTAATTGCTTTTTTCTCTTTATTGTATACTTTTAGGACAGAGTTTTAGCACTTATTTTACGCCACAAATTAAAATTGAATTAAAAAGTTGTGAGAAAAAGCAATTTAACAATAATGTTGGCAACAAAACAAAGCACCAGTTCCTGTGCGGCTATCATCAAACCCACCGCCAAATCCACACCGAATTCATCGCACCTTTACATCTCATTCATCGCTATATTTATTTCGATAGTCATCTCATCGCTCATTACACTCGTGGGTCCGTTCACGTCGTCCACCGTCTACTACGGCACCCAAATGATACCCCACCCGTCCGACGCCGGGGTCGGCCTACTCATCAAAAACGACAATTCCTACGCAATTGTGTTGGACGGGGGCAGCACCGGCACTCGGGTCCACATATTCTCGTTTACGTCTCAAATAGCGGGCAAAACCCGCAGAATATTCTTAGAAAACGAGACGTTTCTGTCGATAACCCCCGGCCTGTCGTCCTTCGCCGGCAACTCGTCGGACGCGGCCCATAGTCTACAGCCACTGCTCGGTAAGGCTTTGGCTACCGTTCCCGACCATAAGGCGCTCGACACGTCCATAATACTCAAAGCGACCGCCGGTTTGCGACTCATTCCCAAACTATCGGCCGATAATATACTGAAGTCTGTAAGAGAGAAGTTAGAGTCCACTCCCTATAGAGGTTTGCATTGAATTTGGTTTTAGTTGTAATGCTTTGCTAATTGTTTTGATGTTTGTTTGTACAGTGAATGCAAACTCGGTGTCCATTCTGGATGACAGGGATGAGGGTCTGTACGCCTGGTATACCGTCAACTTCCTGCTGTCCAAACTCCATGACATTAAGACGTCGATCGTAACCCTGGATCTCGGCGGCGGTTCCACTCAAATCACGTTCGCCACCAATAATACCGAAACTCTGGTATGTTTTGGGATTCAAGAAATTGTTTTCGTAATTTCTGTTTATTATAATAATATGTTATGATCTGTAGGTGCGCTCACCGGCCGGTTATATTGTGAAAGAAGACATCGAGGGAGAGCCCGAATACATATACACCCACTCCTACCTGGGGTNGATTCAAGAAATTGTTTTCGTAATTTCTGTTTATTATAATAATATGTTATGATCTGTAGGTGCGCTCACCGGCCGGTTATATTGTGAAAGAAGACATCGAGGGAGAGCCCGAATACATATACACCCACTCCTACCTGGGGTTCGGCCTAATGTCGGCCCGAAAACGGATTCTACTAAACAGTGAAGACGTGAAAGTGATCTCTGATACTGAGGTGCGGATCAGTAGCCCGTGTTTTGCCACAACAGTCAATAGGACAGAGAAATGGGTGTTCGAGTCCGTCACCTATGAGATAGTGGCCGATGAGGAGGACGTCCTATCGGGCGATGCCTTTGATAAATGCTATAAAATAGCCCAACAGTTGGTCGCCAACGCCATCCATAAGCCGGAGGAGCTGAAGGAGCGGGAAGTGTTTGGTTTGAGTTACTATTTCGATCGCATGCTAGACGTGCGGATCATTAAGGATAAGCAGGGAGTCATAAAAGTGAGAGACTATTACCTGATCGCCGAAAACGTATGTAAATCAGTGATAAAAATGCGAAAACAGTCGCCGTTCCTGTGCCTCGACTTGGCGTATATCACGGCTTTCCTTCACGAGGGTCTGGGCCTCGACTGGCAAAAGGATATAACGGTTTGTTTGTGTTTTTTAAATTTAATTTAGTTTTTAGTTATTATTTTTTCGTAATCACTTTGAAAGCATTCTTTTTCGCAATTTTTAAAGTAATTATTTTGCTATTTATTTGATTTGATTTTGTGTTTCGGGTGTAATAATAATCCTAATAACTGTTTCATTGCATGTATTGACCCTTTTTTATTGTGTGCACAATATTTTAAAGTGTTTTTGTCATTAATTATCGTTAAATATCCATAAGAGTAAAGGCATTGAATTTCGTAGAAAAATTCCTTAAGAATATTCCGATCATTAATAATATTTTTAGTGAATAAAGAGTGTCTCAAAAGCTATAATTTATATGAAAATAAGGATAGAGAGAGAGAGAGAGAGAGAGAGAGAAATTCAGTGAAATTCTTGTGTTTATTGTTTGTCTCAAAGCATTTAGGGATGACTTTTATGCCGCCCTTTAAGCTAATTATTTTGTCACAAAATTAATCACACAAAATATCATTTGAATTACTTTTTTGGCGTATACTACCATTTCCCCGGTTACACTACCGTTGTTGTATGTGCCGTATATGTAGGCAATGAAATCATCAGTAAATCACTGTTTAAAAAATGGTTTTTATAATTTATATTTATTGTTGATTTCTTGGATATTAATTTTGTTGTTATATTATAAATAATTTATATTTAATTCACTCGTGTTTTAATCGTGTCTTCATTTTTGTCATAACTTATAGCTCGTAAAGAAGATTAATGGCATCGAAACGAGTTGGGCGTTGGGGGCGGCCATCAATTTGCTTAATGTCGGGACACAAACCTAACCGCCCGGTTAGGGGGTTAGACGTCTAGACTTAATGACCACTTTTTGTGTAATACAAAAGAATTAATTTTTCAAAAATTAATTTCGTGTATAAAATGATGAGATTGTGTTCGCATATAAAAGTCATATCATAAGTGCCTAAAACTCTGTATAATAAACGAAATAATAATTTTATTTATAAATCTGTTGGTTTTAATTATGTCTTTTTAAAGTATTATTTGTGTTTTTATAATAAAATTTCAATTAAAGTCAAACCATTTTTCAAGTCATTTTGATATGATTTGCGATTTTTCTTATTAAACAAATGTCTGTATTTGTGGTGTTTTTTGGATTCACTTTTTTGTTTTGTCTGGTTTTCTCGAAACTTTTAGTGAAAATTGGATTTTAATTAAGTTTATGGCGAAAAATGTTTTTATATATTTTTCATGTTATTTGTAGTAATCAACTAAAATAACGGATTACTTTGATTTATTAAATATGAAAAATTATTTCCCAATTCCACTGCAAATTAAATTAGTGTTAAATTTAGAAATACTTTCTGTAAATGAGTTTTGAATATTTTTCATCTCAAATATTATAGCAATTGAATTATAATTTTGCGATAAATTATTTATAAATGCATTGCAAATAACAATTACTTTCTAACGGGAAATCCGACAACGATTTTATTAAAAAATAATTAAATAAAAGTAATCAGGGTCCAGCAACTTTTCAACAACAATTCAAATCATTGAATTTTAGACCTTTGAATCTGACCGATCGATACGACACACGAGTTTATGCGCCGTTATATACCATAGTATGCCATAAACTGGCACTTCCTTTACCCTCCCATCACTAACAGATGCATAGGGAATGGTATGTCTCTATATGTCTCTATACATAAGAGCACAGCCTCTCACTCTTGCTATCACTTACAAGAAGTTCATCGCCTATTGTACCGCAAAAAACTAGCCGTCAGTTTGAGTTAAACTTTATATGATATACGGATTGACAGAAAGTCCGTCACATATATAAAGCCAAAAAACTTTGCACAGAAAACGGATTAAACAGAAAACTGAAAAAAGTTAGTCAACTCTCGCGAGCCATGGATCCGTTGACGGTGATGGAGCACTTCGAGAGCTCCAATAACTCGATGAACATGTCGGCTCTCCCACCCCTGGAAGCCCTGGGACCTACCTATCAGCTCCTGCTGGCCATACTATACTCCGTGACCGCCATTTCCTCCTTCGTTCTCAATGTGTTCGCAGCCGTGGTTTTGCTGAACTTTAAGCGCTCGTCGGCCGACCTCCGCAAATACCTCCTCAACCTGGCCTTCGCCGACATATTGATGGCTATATTCTCGATACCCTTCTCCTACTCGGACTTCATGTACGGCCGATGGGTGTTCCCCCTGTTTCTCTGTCCCATCTCTAACTTCATCCAAGTGTTGGCCGCCTGTCTCGTTATATACACTCTCATCGCTATAGGAATTGAGAGGTAAGGGGTGTCCGATATTTTTTTGGTAACGTTTCATAGTGTCTAACGATTGATGTTTGTTTGGGAATTAAAGTATCAAAAAAGTTTTTTCCGTTTTTGTTTTAAACGTATAGGAAATTAAATTGTTTTTTGTTTGTATGCGAGAAATGTGTCTATACGTGGAGTTTGAAGCGTTTGTATTTTGTCGGCAATTTAGGAAACGATTTGTAAGAATTAAGATATTTTTTCTCTCAAACTTATTCACTCTATCTCTGGTCGTCGACTATAATCCTCTGTTAAATGAATGATATTCTCAGACAAAGAGAAATAAAAATGAAATTTATTTTAAAGAAATCAATAAAAAGAGTTAAGAATTTTAATAGAAATTTTTGCACTCAAAAAACGAGTGACAGAGAAATCGAGAGAAATTTTCATTCAAATGAGTAAATATCGGTTTATCAGCGAAACTTCATTTCACGTCATTTAACTTAATTTCGCGTGAATTAAATCCCAGGGTTTTTATTACACACTTTCAGCCTATCGTTTGCTTTCATTGCTGTTAATAATTAACAAAAGGTTTATTTTATTTTATTCAATCACTCACTAGCTCTAGTAATTATAGCTTAAGCTTATATAACTTAATCAATAATTACTATATAATTTTATTTATATGATAGTTAAAAGCAGTTCAATTTCGTATCGATATATAATTTTATTGTCAATTATATTTACAGGATTGTAACAATTTCAATCTCACATTGTTTGATTAACTTTTAATGACATTCCTATGTTTACAATTCAGTCTAGAAATTGTTGTTTGCATTTGTTTTAGTTTTCATTCAACTCGTTATAAATGTTTAGAGTACTGTATTATACGGCATATCATTGATACTATTTTCTTATATAAATATAATAGCATTCAATAATATATAACACTTTGACTTTAGTTTCTATTGAAGTGTAGGATGTGATGAGAAAATAGGCGAAAATGCAAAACAAGAAAAGCAATAATACAGTCATAAAAATATTCTGAATATTTTATTTTTTCTGTTTTTTATCGTATTCTTAGTAGCCTTTCGTTATCAATAAAAACAAATTTTGATTATAGTTTTCACACATTTCCTTGCTCCCTTTATTGCAATACTTTATTTGGAAAGTAAACTTTCAAGAATTCAAAATGAATTTTTATTTGTTAGCATTTGTGCGAATTCTTGCTCTAATCTATAGACAATTCTTAGTGCAAAAATCAATACAGAATATTCTTAGTTAACTATTGAATGTTTTATGTATTAAAATGCATATAATTTGTTATATTTTTAGTTCAATAACTCATCTACACATTTATACTATTGTAGAGATTAAAGTATGTGGGATATAATGCAAGTATTTATTTTTTACTGAAGTAAAGCCTTTCAAACTTAAATTAGGGTTTTTTAACTTAAATTATTATTGAAAACAAATTTCTTAATATAAGTACAGCTTTATTAGAATTAAAGATAATCAAAATAATAAATTATTAAAAACTTAAGTAATTGTCTAAAATTACAAAAAATAATATAATAATTTGAATTCTTAAAATATTGTTAATAATATTAATATTATAAAAGATTAAATCTCACAATTAAAATTTATTACAAAATAAAAAATACTTAAACATCTAATGTGATTGCATTCAAGTGATTGCATGAATTTAACTCAAGAATAAATACCAAGAATCGGAGTAATATTTTCTGATTTACAAAAAATATATAACAGATAAACTCTTTCTGTGTCTCCCTTTCCCTTCTTACAGCTATATCTATTGGCATAGTATTGACCGCAAGGAAAGGGAGTAACGATCAAAGTTTTAGCTTGAATTTTAGACCTATTATTTAGTTGAATTGAATTGAAAATTGTGTTCATATAATAGTGGCGGACATTGACTATAGGACAGGCATTCAGAATAAAACATTAAGTGGTTTGTGAACTCAGTTTAAGACTATTAATAACAATCAAACCTTTATTCCAATAGATATAGACATGAGATTATGGGAGACTATTGGTGTAGTAGTGTATTATAGGTCGTGTAGTCCATCGACTTTTGTGATCAAAAAAGTGATTGATTTGTGTTTTTGTGCTCTAATAATGTACACAAATTTTATTTCTTTATTTATTTCTTATGATTAAATTCATTGTTTGAGTCAAACTGAAAATACTTTTCTTTTTGCTCTCTCTCTCTCTCTCTCTCTCTCTCTGACTCAAACGAATAACGTATAGAATATTCTATATTATGTATTGTAATAAGAATTGCAATAATAAGCGGCAATAAAAATAAAATTAGTCAGAAAAGTAGTTTTACTTTTGTAACAATTCTTACTGTAGTGAAATGGGTTTTAAGAATTAATTATATATTTGAGCTTAAATTTTAAGATCATTAGCGAGAGATTGGATTTCACGAATTGAAGCAATTTTTGAAACTCAATACTTAAAAAGTCATTTGAGATCTTATTTTTTATTTTTCACTATTTTCAAACTAATATTAATTAATTTTATAACAGTTAACACCCGAAAAATAGTTACGCTTTTCAATACAACTCAATTGTGTATAAAAAGTTTATTTAAGTTTTGGTCATAACATTTAGGGATAATAAATAGTCAAATGTGACTCAAAGGGATTTCTAATCTCGATAAACATTATAAAACTTTATAAATTAAATTAAATTAAAAACATTATAAATTCCTATGATAATTGTTTTAAGTATCGGACGAAAAGTTTGCCAAACAAACATCACTGTAATTAAAATTAATTTTCCGTCCGTTTGAAATAATAAATTCATTTTTGTATATTTAAAATGCTATTTTTATTCATTTAACCATTTTTCAGACATACTGTATCACCAAAAGCTTTACTTTCATTTGTTATCTCAGAATTAATATAACAAATATAATTGTTTTCATTAATGTAGGATTACATATTACCGTATATGATTTTGTTTAACATACTATAGTATGTTATTTATTAATTAATGGTAAGAAACAGTTAATTTTAATAAAATTGCATTGCTCATTTGATATTTATTTTAAGGAAGATACTTTTATTTTATTAACATACAGTATTTATATTTTATAACAAAAATATAATATAGAGCAAAATATATTAATAAAAATGAGATAAATTTTACAATATTGCATCAAAACATTTTATTTTTGTAATTAATTTAGTGATTAAAGAAACTTCAATTTTATTCATTAATAAACCGTGAAACCTATCATTTAAAATAATTAAATCCTAAATTTTAGACAATATAGTAAGAATGTAACACTGAATTATATACTATATATTATATATTGAATTATATATATGTCTTAGAAGATTTCAAAAAGCGGATGACAATTTCTTTAGCAAACATCGTGCAGTTTTTACTCTTACAAATACTCATATACATGTATAACGTTAATGTTTTCATTAATATTTTCTCTAATAAATACATAAGTTTATATTTATTAATTGGACATTAATTTGTATAAAACGTGAACATTATATATGAGTATTTGTAAGAGTAAAAACTGCACGATGTTTGCTAAAGAAATTGTCATCCGCTTTTTGAAATCTTCTAAGACATATACTGAATTATATATTATATTTGCATAATTGCTGGGATATATTATTAGAAATAAGATGAGTGCCATTAAGTTAGATTAACTTTATATGTGTTACCTAA